AAAATTGTCTTTATGAGCAAGTATTTCGTAGATTCCGAACAGTTATGTAGTTGTCTTTTCTTCCACGGTGCATTTTGTATATGGAAAAGAAAATATGTTTTTAACTGAAAGAGTTTTGAAACCATTGACAAACTATCGATTTCCAATAACATACATTCTACACCTTTCCTAACATGTTTTATGGTGAACGTGCCGCTAACGTTTGATTTGCAAGTACTGTCAAGATGTTTACTCAGATGAAAGATGGCCGGTTTTAAACTGTTTGGCACGAACTAAGATAACAACTTGTTTGGCGAATCGTAACTATTACTAGTAGAGAACTGCCTAAGGGTTACTTTACTTGCCTCTAGTAACGTTGTCACATTTTGAAATATGGATCTGCAATTTTAATTTATGGATCCATTTATTGTTTTTAAATATCTTAGTCCACGTTCTGTGTGTATCAAAATTAAAAACAGTGCTTAAAATTTAATGAATAAACTATTTTGATATGATAGATTTATCAAGTACATTTTAGTGTTTTTTATTACTGATATTATCATCATACAAAATCATATTATTATATAAAAATTTGTAAAAAAATAAATTTTTTTCTATGTTGCATTACAATCCTTATATTGTAGTTTTTTGACCGAATGAACCAGTCTTCTCGATCCCTGCTGATCTTGTGTTACTATTTTTCTGTTAAGTACATGAAGCTCTGCATCACATTTGTTGATCCTGTTCATACATATGCTCTTCTCACATTTCATGAATGAAAATTAATTTTAACAGTGGATACATGAAGTCGAATAAAATATCTTCGGAAATATCCAATTCTGTGTTAATAAAATTATTGAAATGAATTCTCTAATTGGTTCGAATACAGTTACGCATTTAGGAACCGAGGTAAATAATCAACGTTGGATAAAATTATTAAGAAGGGGATGAAGTTCTTGACAGAATAAATCTAGCAGCTTAGTGTTGGCTTATTGGAATTGGGAGTGTTGGCTGACGTAGGCGTTGCTTGTTCTCAATGAAGTTTTCTCTATTCACGCTGTCTTTGTTCAGTCGGTGCCTCACTGGAGTAGTTTTCGATTTCAACTCATTCAAGCAACAGGTTTATTCAGATGGGCTAGCTTTCGTGACACAGTTAAATCCGGCGCATGTATAAACATTTCATGAGGCTTGAAATACTTTGCATCAAAACTTTCGATCACGGCGCAGAACTAAATAATCATTATTTTACATATTTTAATTACACAATTTTGTTTTTATCACAAAAATTTACCTCTACTCGATCATTCCTCGTTAAGAGATATTTGGTAGATTTTTTTTTTTTTTTTTTTTTTTTAACTTATCTCATAGGCTATTAAAGATTTTCTCATCTGCCTTTTTTTTCTTTTTTTTTTTTAAATGCTATAAAATGTATTTCTAAGATTGGTATAAAACTTGGAATACAATGCTATTATATAAATAAATCTTTAGATAATTTATAAAATAAGTTCTAAAATATAACATTTCAAAATTATGAAAGTTATGCTTTTAATTAATATGATAATTAGTTAGAAACCTCAATCGAAATTTCATATTATATATACGAAACACTTAGATATAAAAGGTCATTCTTGCAGGATTTTTTGTTGTGTGACTAATAAATTTTAATAACTGTCGCGAATGACTAAGATGAAACGATAATTTGATAAATAAATTTAACAAATAATAATATTTAACATCCGCTCCCAATGGTGTTTTATGATTTGCATAAGATATCTCCTTGCGTAGCTCCCTTTGAAGTAATGTTTGAACAAAGTTTTGGACATATTTGCGACAAAGACTCACCGGCGACATAAAGATAAAGAAAGATCCTCTTGTGCGTCAGTAAAGTTGAGCAATACAGCGGAATAATTAGATCGTGCAAGAATAAAAATGCTCTGAAATTACATCTTCCAATTAATTGTTAATTTATTTTATTTCTTAATGGCAATTTAATATGATATTGTGTATGCCAATGGATTACATTTCTTGAATGCGCATTACATTCTAATTGACGAGTGCTTCGATTCATAATTATGAAACACCAAACTAATATTATGTACATGATCATCGGATCCAACATTAAAAAATAATGTAAATTTAAATCGAATGAAACTATGTGTTTGTAAATTTATCTTACCCTTAAATTATTCGAACGATGAATTAAAATCTCCCCTAAAAGTGAATGAAAGACATTTCTATATCACGGAGTATGATTTTCTATTGCTTGTTTTTAATCTAAATAATATTTCATTTTAAGCTGAGATAATATTTTCATCTGTTCTTCATGTTTGTAAGGACCCTTCATAAGCCTAATATAGTGCAATATTATAAAAGACTTATATAGGTTGCGTTGTACCCCGTCCTCAGTTTTATAAATCCCATTCTCCCTAGTGGGGTTGTGATCTCTACATTATGACCATCGCAAGCCGCGCCATACCTACAAAAAAAATTTTATTAGTTTCGATTTCACCCGGACGTTACGGTGGATAGGGGTGAGTAACAAGATATTAAATTTTTCCGACAACCCTCAAAAGGGCGGACTCACTCGCGGTTAACACTTAGTCCGAGACTAATCAGAATTGGGTCTGTGTGCCATGTGTTAATACTTTTTACAGTTGGGGGCGCTCTAGAAACCACCCCCGAAGTTCGGGAAGGACGACCCTACCCGGAAATCGATATGAGGACCAGGGGGTGGGAGGGGTGAAGTGTGTGGGGTCTGTTTTGTGTTTGCCGATTATACAGAGGCAAAGGAATTGTGTTACCGCACAAACATGAGTCACAGAATCCAGGGCAAACATCGTCCTCTGTTTCAAAATGGTGATCTGACTTTGAGGACTCGGTGGCGAAGGACTTAACTTCCAGTTCCAGGAGGCCATTGCATTGTATCTACTGCTTCTAAACCTTTTGTCCTATTTTATAAAAATTTCATAATAGTTTATTTTATATTAAGTACCATTAAGATTATTTTCTACAAAAATATTTTAAAGAAACTTTATTACTATTATTCGAGCAAAATGAAATTCTGTAATTAATTGATTTTTTTCATTCCATCTTTAACTCAAAGCCATTTCATTTTAACAGCAGAGCAAACTTAATTTTAACACGTTTCTTTGACAAAAACGTGTCAATTGTGGCAGTTTGATTTCATCCCTTGCATCCTTGCACATGTTAAGAAACTCTTGTCTCATTTTTATGTTTTATTCTCTTTACTCTAATAATATTTTTAAGTACATGTCTGGGAAAAATGTCTATTTTTTTATAACCATTGTTTCTCAATCTTCTAATTTTCTTATAATATATGTTTGTAATATATGTATTTGCTACCTTTATGAAAATTGTATATATATATCAATACTATCAAAACCATTTACTTGCGAACGCATATGTGGCGGAAGAGTATGGCCAGAGCGATTGACTGTAGCCATCGATCCATCAATGGAGCCCGGTCAGCTGTCCTCCGCCACCTGGACTCTCCTCATCCTCCCCCCTTTCAAGTAACGAATCTCTGTTCAATTATATTAATTTCGGTTTGGCACAGATATCAAAATCTACCAGAATCTGACATCGCCGTCTGGATGAGAGACAGCAATAATACTAAGATATGAGTCTTTTAAAATCAGACTTTGATGAAAGTAATAGAACACGGAACAAAGCGTAGCACGGTTAAAAAAACACGACTGTTCGAAGAAAGTGTCGCGAAAGTCAACATCTCGAAAGAGAGGAAAAGGATTTTCCGATTTCCCCTTGGATAAGGGGAGGCGGCCATTTTGTACTAGAACTGGCCGAGGATTGGGGTTTGACCATTGGTCAGTCCATCACGCATGCCGGCCTTTCCCCCTCTTACCCCAAAACCACCCCAGGCTTGACCAACCAGAGCGCTCCTATCGTATGCTTACAATCATATCCTCCATGTTGTTCTTTTTTTCACTAGGAAAATGACTAATAATTAATAAAATATTTCTAAATAAAAAAATAATCATTATAAATATATAAAGAGAACAATATTGATGGTATTATTTGCCATTTAATAATTGCATATATTTTTATTCGCGTTATTTATCTATTACTTTTTTAAAATTCACGAAAGGGTGAATATTGCTGTTGAAAAATCGCTGCTGGTACGTTTAATAATATTTTTTTTTTCTTTATTGTTGAAAAAATGATCAACCATCCTTGGTCGCAGGAGCATGTTTCAGGTTATGAAATGCCAAAAATTTTGCATTCATTTTGGATAATTTCAACTTCAATATTGGTCACATATATACGAGTATGTAACATAAATATTTACCAAAATAAATAACCATGTACGCAATGCTTGTATAATTTTAAAGAGAAATAAGTACGAGTCGTAAATAATTTAACTAAAATTAGCCAAATTTCTCTGAACCTGAGCGGTGACAGACTCCTCCGATCCCGTGGATGAAGCTCTCCAGGCCTCCCAGAAGCTCGAGTAGCAGCCGGAACGTTTTCTCCATTGCCGGGAAGATTTATTAACAGTTTATTTATTGCCGGGATGCCGCTTGCCACACCTGCGTCAGCAATATATTGTTGCCCTTTGTGGATGCTTTGGTCAAACAGTCATTGCGTTTTTTTAATATTATAAGTTGTGACGGTATTACCATTGCATGTTTTGTCCACTATTCAGATCGCGGAAGTGAATAAACTTAAAAAGTATGGATATATGTATATGTGTGCTAATATTATTGCCACAATCTTTTTATTAATATTATTTTCCTAAATCGAAATCCAAAGAAATATTACTGCTATACATTATTAGAGGTAAAAGGAACACATTTTAAAATTCCTAGAAACAAAAATATATATATATTTTTTTTCATTTTGAACTTGAATTGAAAGCCGTAACAAATATTCTTAGAACAATGATATTTTTTTAACTAGTCTCAATTTATCTTTGCTATAATACCTTCTTATACTTTATTTTTTCTTCATTCTTCTAAATCTTCTCGTTCTCGTTTGTGCAGCGGATGTAGACATGCAGCAGGACACTGATGTGCTGACGTGCGGGGCATGCCAGAAAGCCTTCGCCCTCGGGGACATCGTCAAGTTCATCCAACACAAGGTGCTAGCTTGCAACAAGGAGAACTACTCATGCAACGACACCGGCAACAATAACGGAGAGTCGGGAGACTCGGACGGCGAAGTTGGGGTGGTCGTGCGGAGGCCGTCCATCTCTGCCCCGATGAAGAGGTCAGAGGAACCACGGTGCTCCACCCCCAAGAGGCGGGCCACCCCCGGTTCGGCATCGCCCACCCCCATCAAGGCCGACCTCGACTCCAGCCTGCCTGTGTCGTCGCCGGATGAAGGGCCCTGCAAGAAGTTGAGGACGGACGTTGTTGACGCTCAGTCCAACACCACCAACTCAGGTAAGTTTTCATTTGCCAGTTTATTAAGACTTTTCTTTTGTTGAGAGTGGCAAATAATTAAGATATACAGTCTTAATGATACATCTTATAATGTCTTTTTATCTTATTGGACTTGTCGACTTTTCGACCCGAGAATTGTAATAATCAAATCAATGCTCACGGACTAATCTTACGAAAAGAACTCAACAATAAACCGTATAAAGACTGCATATCCGAATTACATGCCAACCTCTAGATTTTTATTTATGAAAAATTATTAAAATTGTTTCTCCAGAATGATAAGAATCTATTATTTGAATACGATAACTTCATATGTAACACATAAAGTACCTTCTGAATTCCTAGGTAATTTACAACAAAAAAGTATGAGTATTTCATTAAATATTTTTTCCAACATTGTCAAAGCTAACCTAACTTTTCAGTTTTTCGTATGATATCGTAAAGTTGTGCCACATTTTATGTTGTTTAAGCACCCAAATCATGTGGAAGCCATTAATTCAAAAAACGTTTGGTCATTTCAGTCATATCATTTCGTCACCAAGTCTCGTCCTTCAATATCCTTGCGAATTGGATTGTTTCTCATTGCCGTATCTGTTATTTATGCATTTATCATTTCTTTAATTTTCAAAATATTTTCTTTTTTTATATAATGCAGATAGTAATTTTTTGTTAATATTTACGAGTCCAGAAAAAATAAATAATGAAGAATCCTCCGTTAAATTCTGATTGCCTCGACGATCAATTGATTGTATCTGACTGTTATCCATTTATTAGGGAAGAGACCGTTGGAGGGAAACATCAATTTGTCGAAGAGTTGACCCGACCTCGAAGAGATAATGAACCAATGAGATCGATTCGACTGAAATTTAAACGCCGCGATTGGCTATTCCGCAAATAAATAATCTCCAGTAGTGGCAATATAACAGCCCCGAACGGAGGTTACACCTGTTATACTTTTATTCCCATTCGTGGTTCAATTAATGCATCAGTTATTGGCGGCCCTGGATGAAGCCGGCTAATGCTCGATGAAAAATGCATTTGTCGATTTAAAGGGTTAACAGCTCGGAACTTTGGCAATATTTCGGCCTTATTATAAATTTTGATATCACAATAAAAAATAATAATGTAAATGTTTTATTTAATTGCACTTAAAAAGCGGAAAACAAATTATTTAAAGCACTTATCAAGAGGAAAACAAAAATTTTTGAACTGTAAAATGTATGATCAGGCGATTGAACTAGTTGCAAAGAAACTTTTCCTAGAAATATTTCAAAACGCCATATTTATTTTTGAATTTGTTCAGGGAGCCAATTTTCCATAACTTTAAGCTATTCACATTTGTTTCTTAGTTATTAATTTTTTTAATAAAATAATAAACATCGCCTCCTTTACCTCTGGGGCATAAAATTGTTTAGTCTATAACTATTATACGTATGAATGACTTCAAGTCCGAAATCTTGAAATGCAAATTTTGTGAAATGTTATGATATAAACTACAAACTTATTTTTATGTAAGGTTTGCTAAAATGTAAGTATGGATTTCATACTTTATCTTAATCACATCATTTATTTTATTTATTGATGCCATTGACATTACAGCTCAGAAACACATTATTGTCATTTCGTTGACATCCATGAAATTAAACACAAATTTCTTCCCGAATATGATGATCTGTGTATGTTCTAGCGTTATATCCTAACACTAAGTACCATTTTTTTATTATTGAATAATAATAATAATACATACTGACAAAATCAAAGTCGGTGTGTATTAGCGCTATAAGTATATATTCTTACCACATATACAAGCCATATACATCAAATAAAAAAAAATTAATTATAAAAGACAAAAAATAGATAGTGAAACAGTATAATAATAATAAAATAATTTGCATATTACATTAAAATTAAATTTTAGTCAAAATACAACAATTCTATCGTCTATAGTCACACATAATAAACAAACAGAAAATCGATCTTTTAAAATTCTAATTATGAACGTGTTTGTTTTAATCAATGTTATTTTCATGTACAGATGTTTTTAGAACATGTAAAGTACCATTGATCTATAGGTTTCCGTGTGTCTGTGACATAAAAATCTTCCATTTTTTGTTTTCTCTCCAGATATGTACCCGCATCTATCATGATGTTGACAATAAGCAGATGTGTTCTGATAAATAAGGATGAAATATTTAAATATTGAAATAAAATATATCAAAGAAAGACATGTCATTTTAGAAAAGTTGAGAAAATTCCAATTTTAGTATACATAACTTCTATTTAAACCAATTCCAACAATTTTTTTTCAGGATTCAAATTGAACATGCTTTAATAAAATCATCAGAAAAAGTTTAAGTTAAACCTGTAAAACAAAAATTGAATTTTTCTCCACTTTCTTTAAATGACAGATGCCCGTAAATTAAAGTATTTTATCATCCACATTATAGAAAGGTAAAGATTTTAATATGTTTTGATTTATTGCATTAATGGGTCATCCAATTAAATTATTGATTGTTTATTGTGCTGTGAATCGCCGATTTCTATATGTTACAAGTTGTAATAAAATGTAAAAAGTATTTTTTTTTTTTTTTGTACCACGTAAGTCTCTTACGATATTGCCGACTCCTTCAACACCCAGATGGGAAACGATTCATTCTGAAAGAAATAATAAAGTAAGTACGTGCCCGACCCTGTCTCAGTGAAAATGAAATCTTTTATCGATCCGCAGCACCGTATCTGGTCCTGGCGTTGGAGTCCGTCTGAGTGGAATAATAAACGCTTAATGCTCCCGCGAATGGAAACACGCTGTGTAGAGATCGAAATTAACTTTATTCTTCTTATATCAGAAAACATAAAGTTTTCATGTCGTATTGTAACTACAATGTTTTCTCATTTCCATTCATATATATAAATTAATTTTATTCGTTTCGAATTAAAACTCCCATTTGCGTAGCTCAAACTCTTGAGTAACCTGGCCAATCTATTTGATGAGGATTCGACTCGGAAGTGACATTTTCAGTCACGACCATTCCATACCTTTCCTGGAACAAAGCGGTTCCAAAAATGTAGCCTCCTTTTACAGGGCTGCCAATAAAACCGATTTCGGGGACGTGTTGGAATCAAACTCACCAAAGTTACTTTTGGTCATCTTTCTCAACCCCTCAATATATTTCAATGAGACTTCAATTCCTCACTTCTTACAAAGCCTTTAACTCTCACTTTTTAAGTCTTCGTGTACTATTATTTTTATCCTTTAGTTTATGGTAAACCTTATTCAAATACATACTAATATTACCATTGAGTGAAGTGGTGAACTAAAAATATACATTAATATCTACATTTCTTTTAAGGATCATAAATTGTAAACAAAAATTATTCTTCTGATTAAAAATATTTAATAATATTAGACCAAATAAAGTAAAAAATAATTTAAAAACAACACTACAGTCATTAACTCTTTACTTTAGTTCCTTACTTAGATTTTCATATTGTAAGCCATATCATAGACGTATAATTGAAAATAATAATAAACTGAATATTATTTAATAAAAAAATATTAATAATTAAATATTATGTTAGTAATTACTTAATTAATATGACTTTTTGTTTTTATTGTAATCTGAAAACATGTCTTCTAAGTAACATTTCACGACAACATCAATAAATTAATCATTGCTAGAAGAGTTCAGTTCGCGGTGCACTTTAATCATAAATTATAAAAAAAATTATTCAGGAAAGATTCAGCGGTAGTAAATTGAGCCAATTAACTACCGAATCAGTGTAATTTACGATAAATCTTATCAGAATGGATTTGGTCCGTACTTTAATGAGACGTATCAGATTTCGAAATCGCTGACTACAACTCATCACAACTAACGACCCAGTCCGATAAAATATTTTATTAAATGAAACCTGGGTCCGATTCAGGTTTAGACTCAACCCTAACTACCTAGATTGGTCTAGCTGTATTAAGTCCTGGCCAATTGAATCTATCCGTATATAGAGGTCTCCGGTAATGAGATTTAAAGGTTGGTCAACTGTCACACCTGTGGTTATATGTCAGTGGCTGGTTTTGTTGTTTCATATATTCTTGAGATAATTGACTGGTAGTCGTACAAGAAAATGAGAAGTTATTGGAGGTGTTATAATTTGGTATTGCCATTATTTTTAATGGGTTGTCGTGTGTAATATGATTTTTAAAAATAATATCATTATCTAGCGGGATTTATAATGTCACGTAACATTTGAATTTTTGCTGTATACATTTTTTTTCCATCACCTTGGAATGACAGCTATCTGTTATTTCGGACTTGAAAAAGTACGTCTTGATCCGTTTCTGGAATAAAGCATCATACCAGCGGTCGACTTTTTGGAAATTCGAAGACACACACAACGCATCAGCAAACTCGACCGCACAGTTCCCACACCGACGACCCCCGGTTCATTCCAAGGAAGTTAGGAAAGAACTGGCTGGAAAAAGCGATGGTCCCTGGATCCCGATGAGGACGTATTCCAGTCATGTTCCAGTTTTAACCTTGTTTTTCTTCCTTCATCTCGGTCCGGATTCCTGGCGTGCACTTGTCTCCTAATCGACGCTTGAGCGGCCTCGCTTTCATTTTTCATGCCGATCCTAGTTTAATAGATTGCGAAAACCCCAGTGCCCTTTGGGAGTAGAAAGAAGTGACTTGACGACCCCATGATGTACTGGTACAGATTTTTGTTTTGTTTAGAATTAATTTTCTCCTGATTGGCGGCTTCTTTACTAAGTATTTTCTCTTTTCTTTAAAGCAAGATACATACAAGAAATGATTTAATTGTGGATCTACTTAGGTTGGAGTCCCAAGTAGTTGGGTAGCTTATACTAGTTCCTACTTCTTAAAAAGAGGCTATACTATTCTTTTTTCTTTTTTACCGGATAAATTACTGCTGGACTATATTCAATTATTTATATTTTAGATAATAAAGGCAGAATACGCAAGTAAAAATTAGATGGAGACATA